AAAACATCAGCGCATCTCCACGAAATGAATTGCGACGAGAGGGCGAAGCTATAGGTCTTAAGGTACATAAAGCTGACCACAACAGCGCCGCAAATAAAAGATCGTCTGTGCGCCCACAAGATTGGCCGTTTTAAATTTTCCTATAATTCCTATACTGCAAGAAAAGTTGGGAAGTGCAAACCACGACGTAGTTCTTCTTTTTTGCAAATTGGCGAAGTATACATATTACTGGTCGAAATTGCCGGAACCCTCCACTACGGCGCCTCTCATACTCATATGGTGCTTTCGGTACGCTAAATTCCAAAAATCAATCAATCAATCAATCAATCAACCGATGTATACATACTACGTGTCCTTAAGGTGCAACGCACAACCATATTCTATACCTCTAATGTAGAGTAGCATACCAGATGCTATATATACCTCCTGATTAACCTCTGTGCCTTCCAATACTCTTTATATCTATCCTGTTAATGCCACTACCGGTAATTATGACTGATTTCGCCTAAGCGCTTTGTAGTCAATGGGCTGCCTTAAACCACTCACTCGTCGCGCGATTCCTGTGTTTTGACGTTTTGGTGCCAGTTCACTGTTCTGCCACACAAATAATTGAGGGACACTACGTAAATGCCAAAGTGCGTTCGAGTCTGGTCGGTCAGAATGGAACGCGATGCGCGCGCCTCCCGTTCTTGCATGATTGGACCAATCCTCCTTTGGATTGGACGCGCTGGGTACAGCGACGCTACGGAAGCGAAGCGCGAGCGCTGAATATTCCGGCGCACTTGGCGCGCCCGGCGGTCACGTGATTGCAGAGAGAGAGAATACGCGGGAGAAACCACAGTTGGCACCGTGCCAGAGCACGGACGAAGGGACGGACGTGAGTATGCGTCGGTAAATAAAGACTATCTTCAGAAGTATTACACGCGTTAAGCAGACTCTTCCTACTAGATGGTATTCGCGGATATTTTTTGCCCGAGACGTTTTGCGGTTCGGTTCTCAGTCAAACCAAACTTTTTTTTCTTTACTGATTCGCATCTACCTCGAGTTTTCACTAAATATTAAGGCTGGTTTACCGCTGACAACTAACAACGCCGACACGGGAATTTCTTTGAAACGAGCTATCTAAAGCTATCGCGGTGTAATTCAAAGATTTTGCCACCCGTAATGCAATATTTTTACGTTTTATTTAGACTCAGTAACGGCCAATAATTCGCTGTGACTTACAAATAAAGACACCGTAAGTTGTACGGTTATTTATATGTTATAGATTGCTTAGCATCTCTTTTTCCTTCTTTTTCTTCGTAACGTGGCCGCCGCGATGCGTTCTTGTAGCGTGAACCCGGAGCCAATCAAGGAGGTCACGTTTACGGCGACGAAATCCACAAGTAATACGCGAGGGCTTGCCGGTTTCTGCCGACCAAACTTCTTGAATAACTTCCATAGCGTTGCGCTTGACACATGAAATTGACGAAGTGAATGGTGAATGGTGAGAAGGAGAGACAGGCAGGGTAACCAGTTCCGGACAACCGGTTTGTTTCCTTACACATGAGAACGGGATGGGGGAGGATGAAAGATGGAGATGAAAGAGAGAGAAAGACCATACATAACCCAAAACATACGCGCAGTCAGTCGCTGTCTATCACACTTGCGCATTACGCAAAATCACCGTCGCAGCCACTTGCCCAAGTTCGTTTTGAACAAGAAAGTATTTCATGCAGGATTACACCGAGAATTCAGTGACGTATTTTGGTCACTACATACAACTAGGAGACAAAAAAAAAATATTCGTCAACGGGAGCCAAGCCCACCGACCTCTCGGTCCGCGACAAGCAATGCCGGGCACTCTATTCACTGCGCCACGGTCTTTCTTTTTTTTTTTCTTTAATTCTGGTTGGACGTGACACACTGCGCCACGGTCACTTGCTCCATGCCCTGATACCTTTATAAACGCGCCTTTTTATCTGCCACTGTCTTCTCATAGAGCTCTTGTTAAAGTGAAGTAATGCATTCCGTTACCGTGAAATCCACGATTACTTTGCTGTCTCCGAAGTGTGGTTTTTACGCGTCCGTCTCATTCCGCGCGCTTTTTTTTTTTTACAGAAACCTCAGTTGCGCCTTCGTCACATTCCGTTAAAGCGGGCGACTGCCCATGAACACTCGGACAGCCACGCAGAATATGTTTAGCGTATCCTCGTTACGACAGGCATAGTAACGAGCGTTGTCACTCTAATTCGAATCAAATCAGATTACGCGAATGGGCACCCCGAGCCATTAGCGACAAAGCCTACTGGCCTCTTTCGGCGGAGTCTAGTTGGCATACAGAGATGCATCAAAGATGACAGGCGTCGTCGGTGGCGAAACGCAGTAAAGATATAGCGCAGTTATCTGTCACCGTTCCTTCAGGGTCGCTGCTCACTGAGAAGATTAGGACGGAGACACTCAGAAGTGAGACAGACACGTCATCTGTGCAATCTATTCTATCTACAAGATGAGCGAACCTTTCTCGCTTGTCATTCCGGAAACCATTTCCGTCAAGCCGGTCCCGCCGTAGTATTGCTTCTCCAGAATGAATGTTCTGCGTTTTGCCGCGGGCTTCTGCGTGTACGTACAGGGTTGGTGAAAGGTTCCCACGCCACTATCCCGTGAATTCTTACGGCAGCGTAGCCTAGGAACTTTTGACCCCCCCCCCCCCCCCCCCCTTTTGTGCTCACTCGTTCGGTACTCAGTTTTGCCCGACGACTAGTTGGCAAGGCAGGGACATAAAACACAAGCTTAAGCGCTAACAGGGGCTTCCCTTATTTGTTTTGTCTTGCGTCCCTCTCTTCCCTACAATTATATTTGAAGTCCACTCCCACGTAACTACATCAATATCGCAATCTAACGAGTACGAAGCTTAATAAGAAAAGCATAATAATTTCTGTCGTTTAACGTGCCGAGAGTACAATATTGTCACGTAGTCATGACGATAACGAAGGCAGAAGTCGGCTGGTTCAAGACGAAACTCTTTATTTGGGCTAAGCTTTACCCGAAGTCCCACAATGTCTACGTTGAAATTGCCGAGTAATATAAAAAGTTAGTGCTTGAAGTTGTTTTATATTGTTCCGCCATTATTATGGTTGACTATAATGCATTGCTAAACATATTTTTTGTCGCACATATGTTACCCGAGCGTTCCGCAATATAATGCAAATTTATTGATTGATTTGTGGGGTTTAACGTCTCAAAACCACCATTTGATTATGAGAGACGCCGTAGTGGAGGGCTCCGGAAATTTAGACCACCTGGGGTTCTTTAAGGTGCACCCAAATCTGAGTACACGGGCCTACAACATTTCCGCCTCCATCGGAAATGCAGCCGCCACAGCCGGGTTTTGATCCCGCGACCTGCGGGTCAGCAGCCGAGTACCTTAGCCACTAGACCACCATGGCGGGGAAATATAATGCAAATTGAGTGACATGAAGTGACATAAAATGTCGGCGACAAATCTTGGCCCTAATTGCATAATATGTACGTTGATGTCACCGACTAATATAAAAGGTTTGTGCTTCTAGGTGTAATATGTTGTTCTGTGAAAACTATAATTATTAATAGTATATCGTTAAACCTTTTCTTGTGTGTTTGACAACCACGAGACAGACACGGACGTGGACGGACAAGCCTGCCTCTGCCTTAAGCTGGTTCGGCCATAAAAGTATGGTTACGGCCCAACACGCTGTATACAGTAATAGCGGCGAACAGAGCGTCCACCATCGACAATATGATTACCAGCGCAACGCGTTGACTTAGGTACAGTGGCCACCGAAACTTTCAGCGTGATCTCCAAAGCTGGCTTAATCTCTGGGTTAAACTAGACTATTCGCGTCCTGCGAGTAGTATTAACAGATTGGGATGAAAGAATCCGCGAATTTTCTATAACACTGCGTCGCATTCTGCGACGAGCGTTGCTTTTAACAGCGTTTGCGAAGAAAATCTGAACACATCAAAAGAAAACAATGAACACGAGGGCCAATACGATTATGAATCTGTGTGCTGAACGCCCGATTAATTTTCACCACCTGATGTTCTCGAACGTGCACATGAATCTAGGGTCTTCCTGCGTAAAAGTAACAATGGTGAGATACAAGGGTCAAAATCGATCAAGAAAAATGCAGGATTTTTTTTTCCTTCTCGAATTACTTATGGCTTTGTATTTCAAACTCACAAGCCGGAAATGAACATTTCAACACTAAGTGAGTGAAATTCACCACTTTATATTTGATCGCCATTTAATGCAAGCTGAAAATAAACATAGAAAGCCATACTTCAATAAAAAAAGGTGACTGGTTCAGGATTCCTAATCTGAATATCTTAAATACAATATACGAGTTACAATAAGATATCTAGGGGCTACAGACATTTTTTCCAAGTAGACCTGGGTGAAACCGAGATTGTGACCAACTTTTCCATGCGAAAACATGCCCGCTCACTGAAATAACTAAGAAAAGGTAATTATTTGAGCTCAGTTAACTGCACGGCTGCCAGCGATAGTCATAGTCTCACTTTGTGCCTCCCTAAATACCTAAACTATAGGCAAATATGGTTTTCACCTACCTCAAAGTGGTGAATTGAAGAAAATAATAAAGCCGAATTTTGAACACTGTACATAATATGATACAGAATACAAGATTGCAGAGTTTCTCTGCCGTCATAAACATTTTTGTCCTTCACCCGACCACTGCTTCCGATTGTAATAGCCTCCAGTAAGAGTCTTCATGGGCATCTTAAAATATATATAGAGATGAATAATTTGCTGCAAAAAAAAAATTCCGGTCCTGTTTCTTAAAGGGATACCAAACAAGAATTGGGAAAAACTGACGAAACTTTGAAATTCGACTCGGAAGATGCCACTGTTCCGACAAACGGAGTTTATTTCCCGTATGTTTGAACAGTTGATTTTATTTTTGATGTATTTTGAGCGCGCGGCGGCTCCTTGCTAGCACGAGCCGTGACGACACACCCACCGAGGAGCACGCTATAGAGGCACGTGTTCTTGTCCTCCTCTTCCCTTTCTCCACCTCTCCTCTCGTCCCACTCTTTCCCTTCCATAAAAGCACCGGTGCTTTGTCCCAGCCGGAAGCACTTTTCCCAGCTGTTGCTGTTCATACCCGTTTTTTAAAACTGAAGTGGAAAAAGAGCGAGTCGAGAGACGTGGGCGGAGGCTGGCATTCTTGACTTGCCCGTTTCTGGCGTGTGTGATCTGACGTCACCAACTGTAGTTCACGGCGCGGCCGCTAGACGGGCTTGTTTGTGAAAACGCGTTATTTCACTAATTTCCCGAAATTTCAGCGTGGAATTAAGGTTGCCTCTACCTATTTCAGGGCCCAATCTTTCCAGTTGACTGAAAATCTTGGCGGTAAGTATTTCTTTCAGTATCCTTTTAAGCACGATTGTCGCAACATGGGAAGCGTTGGACAGAGCGACACGGAAACGTGATACTGCAGTTCCTTAGCTGGTGTCACACACTTATAAATACCGACATTATTGTTGAGCTGCAATTGCAGATGGCCGGATTGAGAAGAGAGCGCGCGGATATGAGCGATATTGCTATCGCCGCATCTGCGACTGGAACGCGTGCGCCTCGACAAGACATGGCCTCCGAGATTAGCCGGGGGCACGCCGTTGCTCCGCCGGCTAATCTCGGAGGCCACGGACGGGAGCAGTTGGTACGCGGAAACAGAGCCAGAGGGCGCGAGGAGGCACGGAGCGTTTTTCTGGTCATCCATGGTTGTCCCAAACTGTGAACATAGGACCATGACCGGATGAACGGGGGGCGCGCAAAATACGTCACGCAACCTTCCGTAAAAACCTCCGATTCCGGCGGAGCGAGAATTCTTGCGCCACGGAGCAATTCGTGATCTAAGGTTACTCTCAATTTGCCATTGGAACACGCAATGCACGAAATTCACGCTATAAATCTGCCATTATCAGGATTTGCCATTGCATTTCTACGTGACAGTTAGCCAATTACCATGCAACATTCAACGCTGATGGTACATGGCGCGTCTAAATTCGGTGGGCTTTGCACAGGGCTATTTAGAAATTTCAATTGACTTTCGACGGGCTACTTTATCGCGACTGTGACTTGATACTGTCGTTCGCATTTCCTGCCAAACTCACCGAGAGTGCGCCGTCAATGCTCAGTGCTTCGTAACGAGCAAGACAATTAACGAGAAAAAAAAAAACACGAGCGTAGGAGCAGTCGTGCAAACCTAGTAACCTGCTCAAACACCGGCTCATTTCGATTTTTCAACTACGCACTTGGTACGCCTCATATCGACCGAAAGCGGTCATTACTTCCGCCTACCAATCAACTACGTCTAGGTTTGCGCGGCGCCAAGGAAAAAGCTTTACCAAGAGACAACAAAAAAAAAACGGCAACGACTGGGACAACGGGTATGCATACAAACTCCTAACACCATGCTCAGTTATTGGGGACAATCAAAGAGTACATCAGCCTACCTCCGAGCGAGAATCGATAAAGTGAAGTAATTAAAGGTATCCGGGGCCGACGAGCCATCACGCGCTTAATTATCGCCCTTCAAGCAGCGCTCTTTTTAGCGAAAAAAAGAAGTAAAGAAAACAGAAAGAAAGAAGGTCGTGTGGAGAAGTGAGTTCGTTTGGCGACGTGAACCACTGTGAGAGGGTGTGGGCGACCGATAGCTCAGGAATCGATGCTATGCGCCGAACAATTGAGTCTGCAAAACCAACAACTCCTTTGTTCAACCTGTCTTTCCGTTTTTTTGTGCTCTTTTTTTTTCAGGTAAACCAAGTCGCCAAAAGAGGCCAGCTCAATTTACGCGTAAACGTTATTTCGAGGGTGCATGTTTAGGCGTGCTCGGTATAATTAATTCAAGCGTAATCAACCTAGCCTTCCATTCGTAGCCCCTTGTTTCGTCAGGTTCGTTGACAACGAAAAATAATTAACTGCTTGCCAATGCATGCATTAGGCAGAGTGGGGATAAATTGTCAATTTAGAGGCAAACGGCAGATCTTGTGAAGGGACTTGCTTCATTCTTCTACGGTTTGGCGGTATCACATTTCTTCATTAATGGAGACGTGAAGGCATCCGGAAACGAATAGCCGCGAAAAATCGATCTGCATAGACTTGCGCTCTCGTATCTATCTATCTATCTATCTATCTATCTATCTATCTATCTATCTATCTATCTATCTATCTATCTATCTATCTATCTATCTATCTATCTATCTATCTATCTATCTATCTATCTATCTGTCTGTCCTGTCTGTCTGTCTGTCTGTCTGTCTGTCTGTCTGTCTGTCTGTCTGTCTGTCTGTCTGTCTGTCTGTCTGTCTGTCTGTCTGTCTGTCTGTCTGTCTGTCTGTCTGTCTGTCTGTCTGTCTATCTATCTATCTATCTATCTATCTATCTATCTATCTATCTATCTATCTATCTATCTAGCTAGCTAGCTATGTGACTGACTAAATTTATTAAACTAATTCCCTAGCTACCTCGATCAGTGGCTGTCTTACTGTAGCCTTCGTTCACTGACAATTTTCACCCTCTTCACCTATCACTTCGTCATCTATAACTCGCGAACTCGTTCACTAACTCACCCAACTTATTTACCACTCACCAGTCTAACCCACTCACCCACTCACACAACCAAGCCAGCTGTAGGGGGGACCCAGAAAGAGCCTAATCAGAGATAAGTAGGTGAGCCATTCTGAAAACACTCATCGAGGTAATTGCCTCAACCACCGTCCTGTAAATAAAGCACTAGCGTCCAGAGGAAGATTGTTTAACAATTGAAAAGGTGACAGATTCGCCACTTACGACGCCATTCCAGATTTTTCGCGCAATCATTATCACCTCGTTCGGAGCGCTCGGTGCGTTCAGTCAGCCAAATCTCTGGCGCTTCAGACTTATATCCCAGCTGCATGGCTAGTTAATGCTGCAATTATACATAGTGTTTCGCAAATGAAGCTTGCAAAGCGTTTGCGGAGGAGAGGCATGGCTAGCAAGAAAGGGACGAAGAACAACAAGAGAGAAGGCGGGGAGGTTAACCAGGCACATGCTCGCGTTACTTAATTGTTTAGAAGGTCTGCCCTCTTGCGTTTATTTATTTATTTATTTATTTATTCAACCATTCATTCATTTATTCATTCATTCAGACATTGCAAACTAGACTCGAAGTTGCCACGATGCGAAATTTCCAACAGAACGACCGATCGTACGTTGAAAGGACACCAAAGGCCAACGCCATTTTTTGCGAGTTAGTGAATCAGCATCTCAAGACACCAAAAAGACCCCTTTTGCCAAGAAAGATGATTGTTAAGCGAGCAAACACGCAAAAACCAAACGAACCTAGTCGCTAACGCACGAAACAGCCGCATTATTAACTCCGCAAGAGAGTACGCCGATTGTGCAAAGTCTGCGCGTAAGTGACCCCTGTCATGTGGCCTGTCTTATGTCGGACAGACAGGCCGTCGTCTCCATGTTGGGCTACAAGAACACAGCGATAAAGCCCGCAAAATATAGAAAGGGCTTCTCGCTGCCTTGTACACACAATACGGCTCCATTATATACTTTGCGAGGACCAGTATTCTGGCTAGGAATTGTAATGACACTACAAGAATGATCATTGAAGTAGCAGCAACAACTACAGGAGCTGACTCTGTTATCAAGTTGTCATTTGCGTTATCGAACAGATCTGGCATTTCTAAAATCACACACGCGCACCTGTGAGAGTTAAAGCGATTGTAGCGTCTCTTACAGGCTTGTAGATTGCCGTGCACATGTGTCTTGGACTATCGTGTCGTTGTTCGGTGCTCATACAATCTCGCGGGCATAGGTTATTTATGCATGCTTTTCGTAACAAGGAACTCGTTGGAAAACCGCGCACGTCTTCACCGCTTCTTTGTCCCTTCCGTCTTTGCCTACGCAGTTCGCAAGTTGAACACGGAATACCAACTCGTTCGTACCGATACCTTCAGAAAATGTGGCTGGCAACGGCTCCTTGAAGTTGCCGCCACAGAGTCGTCACGTAATAAAACTTGACCGGATCTACTAGGGCCTGCACAGCTCCTAATTGGTACAAAAAAAACAAGTGAAATTGACTTCCGAGAGAGCCAGAGACTTATCATAATAAATTTAGGGAAACTTTGTTATGCCCGCAGGGACAAAATATGAAAAAAGAAATCTCCAATACCACGACATCTCCTATACGGAATATACTCGGAAATTATAGAAGTAGAACTCCTTTCTTTACTTTTCTCATCTCTAAATAAACACGTAACGGTGAAATTGCCGACGGCAGAGAGCGCAGAGCACAACTTATCAGTCTACTCAAAACTTAGTGTTTCACTTTCTTGTCACTCTAGTAAAACTTGCTGCAAAAGCAGTCTTTCCCTCGCAAAGAGTACACGTGCGGAGAAGCCAGAGATAAAGGCAAACGCCTGCGTCGGCTTGTTCGTCGCCTACGCCCGAGACGTTGCCCGTGGCATCGCTGATGCGGTCCGCTGTGTTTATTTTTAGCATACTGCAAGCCGTCAGCTAAAAAAAGCCGCCCTCGGTAAACCTGATTCAGTAAGCGCACATGCGTGTGCGTTTCAAGTGAAACGTCGGCAGAAATAACGAAACTTCGTCAGCCTCACGCCCACACTGATCTTCAAGTGCTGCTATGGTAGATTGTAGGTCGAGTTGAGCATAGCTAAATGAAATATTTTTGCACACAATAGAGAAGAAGGAAGAAAACAAAAACGAAAGAATACAGGAGACGACGGGCTGTCCGGTCTATCCTTCATCGTTTTCTTCCTTGTTCTCGGTTGCATGAAAAACAAAATTGGCCCGATATCTGCATGTTACACAGCAAATGTCGTCGAAAGACGACAGTCTTGAGTCTGGAGAGAGTGAACAAAACGTTTATTTCATGTTATGTGCAAGGAAATAGGTGAATGGTATTCTGGAGGCGCTGCGTTAGAGTGCCCCGAGCGTGCAGCGGAGGCGAACGAGCGCATTAAGTCACGTCACACGTGAAACATGAGCGCTATCTGGCAGTTATCTTGAAAAACGAAGCACCTGGCTTGCGCACCCGTCTCGGAGGCGATAAGGTGTAGAACACAAGGCAACGGGTAAGTGCCAC